AACATGTGTCCCCAGGATTTGTACCTTTTACAAGCGAGTGCAAATGAGTGCAGGGCATCGGCACAATAAGTGCAGGTTGTCCTCGCTTTCTTCTCCACATAGCCGGCATTCTTTCTGCTCCGCTAGTCTTAGATTGAATAGATGTGCTCTGAGGGGCAAGTGTCCTGTCAGTAGGCCTATGCCACTTCTCAGTTTAGTCTTTCCCATAGCCAGCAACTCTCTGGTTCTTGCTGGGTTTGGAGATCTCATGAGTTGTTCGGCTCGTTTACAGCCCTCTGCCCCCTTCCAGGAGTTCGAGTGCTCCCGTTCAAGCCACTCTTTGATTATTTTTGTTCCTGCTGAAAATGGGACTCCGACGATCCTTTCAGCCGGGACCTTTTCGGTACCCTGCTTTGCCAGCTCGTCCGCTCCCTCAATTCCAGGTATCCCCTGATGTGCAGGGACCCATACTAGGGTTACTCTGTTAGTTACCCCTAGTGTTGTGAGTGCTTGCATGCAGTCCCATACCACAGATGATTCTGTGGAGGTTCTTGCAAGTGCTTCGATAGCTGCTCTGCTATCAGTATAAATATTTATTTGTTTTCTGTTTTTCCCTTTTAGCAGGAGTTCCGCACATTTCTGGATGGCCAGCACTTCAGCTTGAAACACTGTGGCCAGCTCACCCATTGGTTTTAAAGATTTACGGAAATAAAAATTTTGTTCATTTTATTATTGATTTTAAGTAAGAACCAACTTCCGTTTTACAGAGTTGCACATTATTAAAATGCATAGTATTGCACAGTATTAAAGTGTATGAGTACATGTATAATTTATAAACAAAGTTTAGTTTTCACATATAAATTAACATATAATTAACAAATAAGTGTTGAGTTTATAAATAAGTTTACAAATAAGTGTTGAGTTTATGACTTTAAGTTTTATTATTTAACAAATTAATACAAAAGAAATAACGACTCGTTATATAAAAATAAACAAATGATGTCAAGGACAATATCATAAGTCAAAAAGATATTTGTTTAAACAATAAAACATTTAAATGATTAAGATAAGGCTCAATATGTATTAAACAACTAATATAGGAGATAAGGGCAAGAGACAATAATTCCGTTAAAACCTTTTTAAATTAATCTAATATATATTGCGAAGAATATCACATAATTATGGCGTTTCGTCCTAACTTCCACTACTGGACTTATCAGTAAGGCATTGTAGTGGAAGCCTACCTTAGACGCCTGTTTAAGTTATTAAATCGAGATTCTATATATACAGTGTGACGTGACATTTTGTCAATCACCCAGAAAAACAGCATAACGCGAGATCCTGGGTCCTTCAGGGTCAACGGGCGAGCGCACAAGCGAATGTGCAACATTATTAATTCTTTTTATTTCCTTTTTGCGATTATTGTATTACTTAATTTTATTCTTTTTGACATAATTTGTAACACCTATAAAGAAAGTTTTGTATTACCATCTCTTAGATTTATGATTGTACATCGACTTTCTAATCATGTATATCATGACGTCGGTTTTTTCTGATGGAGACTCACGGAAGTGGATTAAGACTGTACAAGCGTATCTCTGCGATCTCTACGAGTGATTTTGTCCATGATTGTTTATCGTCTGAGGAGGGCTCAATTCTGAGGAGGACTCAATCCTGGAGCCGAAACTAGTAGCGCTAAGTTAATTTATATTAATTTTAAGTAATTTTTCATAATTATATTTTTATTTTTATTTTTATAGTTTTTATAACTAAATTTTATTTTATTTTATTACTTGGATTTTTAACATTATATTAAATGAATTTATATTTTGACTCTTACATCACCCTTGTTATTTATTTATTATTATTTATTCTTTTTCTTGCGACTATTGTATTATTTTTCTTTTTTTCTTCTTGTCGCTATTTAGTTAAGTTTTAGTTAATATTAAGACGATCCTGAGCTCGGATTTTGCCGGTAATTCACGATCAGAGCCGGTGGTTACGTTGTATTCTTGTGTTCGGCCGCCTCACCTATCGCTAGAAAAGAGAAGACGTCGCCTCCCACGAGGAAGAGATTGCTGTATGAAGAATTTGGCTGAAGTCACGAGAAGCGCGGCACACGCAGGTCGTATTATTTCATATTTGTTATTAATGTCGCTATTATTTGGTGGATTATCGCACCCTCATTGCAGACGCCTCGGAGAGAGACGTCAGCTGGGAACGGACTCAAAGGCAGAACATCCGCCGAAGCATCGTGTCCCACAACGATCGATGGAAGATCGTCAAGCGACAAGGAAGCATTTTCCGACTTTTGGAAAAGCGCGCCACAGCGTAAAAGGATCCGCGACACGCAAGGACCCGCGGGATTCGTCGCGGGGTCACGCGGTCGCGGCGAGCCAATTAGAGCAAGCAGAGGCCGATAAGAGAGGGCCTGACGACCTGCGTGAATCTGCGGAAACTTCCGATCGGCACTTGTGCAGTGACTGGCCCTGACGAAGGACGCAGGGTCTCGCCCATAATT